ACATTAGGCCCGGACTTTAGCAAGAAAGTCCAGGCCCAGCCCGGGCTCGGAAATTTATTTGAAATTTTGTGAAATTACAGATAACCCAATTTAAAATACATAAAGCCCCCTAAAAAATTACAAACAGTCTTCTAAAAAGTTTTAAGAGGCCCTAACAATAATTCGACAACCTTCAATGAAAGTTACATAATAACCGTTAATAAATTAATCCAACACCCACCTATCAAGTCAGCCAAACCCAGGCTGGCGGGACGCAAGTGTGTAAAACCCGGGCCAATCTGGGCAAGTTCCAGGTCTTTTATTACTGTTTTACATCCCTAATGCTGATGAGTGATGCATATTAACAACGTCATTTCGTGACTACTATACACTCACATATGGTTTTCAAGGACTTTGAGTTTCTTAAGAATAATTCATCCTTTGCTATAAACTAATTATAACCACATCGATATAGTTAACCAAAATAAAAAATAAAAAAGTTTGTTATTTGAGGGTATAAAATATACTATAAATAGACTCCACATAGACTATAAAAGATCGTATTTAGTCAAATAATTTAATGCATAGAAAGAAACAAAAAAAAACATCGATTAGATGTCATTTTGTCCGGTAAAACTAGGAGGGAAAAAAAAACCAAAAATCGAACCAAACTAAACTAAAAAGTTAGACCGAAACTGAACAAAAAATTAGGTTTTTTTGGGGATTCGGTTCGGAATAATGGATAAACCGAATATTCGGTTCGATTTTTAGAAAAAAATAAACCGGTTAACCGGAACCAGATTACTAAACCGGTTTTTAAAAAATATTTTTTTTTCTTTTATTAAATACTTCTCTTTTTCTCGGTTTCTCCATCGTTTTATTTTGTTAAATACCACTCTCTCTCTCTCTTTCTCGATTTCTCCACCTTTTTCTTTTATTAAATGCCTCTCTCTCTCTTTCTCGATTTCTTTCTCTCTCTCTCTTTCTTGATTTCTTTATCTTTCTCTTTTATTAAATACCTCTCTCTTTCTTTCTTGGTTTTTCATCTTTCTCTTTTATTAAATTCCTATCTCTCTCTCTCTCACTCTCTCTACAAATACATATTGCAATTCAAATGACATCCACTTCTCTATCTTTTCCTTCTCTGCAACTTCAGTTCCATACTCCACATAAAACATGATCATCAAAACCATAAGCCATATGTACAAGCACCACCAACCACGGTTTCACCATCTCAACTTGCCACTCAACCTCCAATCTGAAAAATCCAAGGAAACTATGGTATCCCTTTTATTGGTCCGATCAAAGACTGTCTTGAGTGGGTGAGTGGCATTCTGAGCTATAGTAAATTGGGCCAAAGTGAAAGGTTTTATTGAATTGGGTCGACTGGTCCAAGCCATTTTGAAAAATCGGTTAACCAAACTAAATTTTCATTTTGGTTACAAATCGGTTTAAGTGAAAAACTGGTCCAGTTTCACCTAACTGAAATCCAGTTCGGTTCAAATATAGGATAAACCGGTTCGGTCAACCGGGTTTTTCCACCCCTAGGTAAAACAATATAAAATCATTTACAAGGATAATTTTGTCATTACAAAAGCATATAAGTGGTTAGATTGGGAATTTGCTATAACCACACCCTTACAATTTTAAGCTATTTAAGAATATTCTTCAAATGGATAACTGTTTGTGTTTGGAATTTTTTTTTTTTTCTTTCTAAAAAAGAAAAAGAAATTTGTTTTCTATTTACAAAGAGCTTTATAATATAATTTTCTTTTAGTCAAGGATAATTTTTATGACTTTTAGAATTATGTCAAGATCATAATTTTATTTTGTTTAAATATTTGTGTAAAACACATACATATTCCAATATTCATTGATAACACAATCAATTTCAGTTTAAAATCTCCATGGAATATATGCGGAAGTAAATGACAAACCTCCAGCCATAGCAATTGTTCTTTGATCTTCTTGCTCCTTTATGAATTACAGGATCTTCCACTGACTGCAATTTTGGGTGATGGTTTTTGGGAATCAATATAAAATTGCGTCTAATGGGGACCTGTAAAGTCTCCTTTATATGCAGTTGTCTTTCCATCAAAGACAACTGCTCAAGAGAAGAGACACGATTTTTACACTTTTACATTAAAATCCACATCAGCATAAAAGTGTAGGACCGTAATGAAATTATATTAAAAGTGTAGGACCATAATGTAAAAAGTCTAACAATTTGGTCTCATTTAAATATAGCTTAGACAAGTTAGAGGGATGTGATTTTTCGACTTAAATTTTTTATTTAAATTTTTTACATAAATTTTCAATCGTAGATTCATTTACAATCCAACGGTGTATGAATTGCTTAGGTGAAAAACATAATAATTACTTCCAAATTCTTTCTCACATCCATTAGATTGTAAAATATAAATGACTAAAAAAATTGTGGCTTAATTTAAGTAAAAAAAAAATTAATTTAAAAGATCTCGTGCCTAAGTTAGATTATATCAATTTAAATATTTAACTAATTTTTATTTAAATTAAAAAAAAATTATTTTAACTCTTATCTTCTCTAGTATTAAATAGATTCATGACTAATAATATTACAATTCCAATCTGAATTATTATAACCTTATTCTTTAAATTTTAAAAATAATTATTTAATTCGTAATACTATTACTACGCTAATAAACGAATCTCACAAATTTTCTCTCATAAATCGACGTTGCACCTAGTTGGCATTAACACGTTAACTGATAACTTTGACTAAACATGAACGGTCATTCCTTAGGAACGAATGATCGTTTCTTGATAAAGAAAGATATTTCCTCAATAAAGAATGGTCTTTCCTTATGAAGGAATTATCGTTTCTTCATACATAGTGATTGTTACTTTCAGAAACGAGAATAGTTATTCCTTAAAGAGGAACGGTTATTTTTTTGAATAGTTATTTCTTGAATCTAATCAAAATATTTTGTACCTTAAGTATGGTGGTGACGTGATGTTGTCGACTCAATTAACACGTTAGGATTTGTGAAATTCATTTATCATCTCAATTAACACGTTAGGATTTGTGAGATTCATTTGTCATCTCAATTCAATATGAAATGTCATCTCAAACTGAAGCCACCTTTATTCGGATCCTTTTTCTTACAAAATAATATTATCTTTAACTGAAAATTGTAACAGGTGTTGTCGCGGAACAGTAACGGAGCAACGTGCATGGCAGATTCGAAGCTTCCAGCTTCTTTAAATCCGTTTTACGCAGTCGTTTCTCAAGTGCTTCCTTGCAACAAAAAAGAAAAGGATAGTTTGTGAATAAGTTTGGGACCGCTCAATACGAATAAACAAAAATAGATGCTAAAGCAAGCTGCCTACACTACAAACTTGTTTCCTTCATTTCTTTTAATAATCCAATTTCATTCCCAACCCATTTCGAAGTTCTCTCTGCCTCTGTTACTGTCAAAGGTATGATCTCTACCTATGTCTAAAAATTCAAGAACATCCATATATTATTGATACCAGTTTTGAATGGTGTTCATGGTGTCAGTAGCTTAAATGAAATTAAAGAGCTGATCAGGGGACGATGAATGGTGATTCTTGTTGGTTCTTTGCGTTTTGTTATTTATATACAGTCTATAGATACATGTTTATTCGTGACTAGTTGAGATTGTTGATTTAAACTATTTGATTTTTTTATTATTAAATTAGTGAAAATGGTTTTTGTGTGTTTATTATCAACTCCAACGAGTCACAGACTCAGAAGTTTGAAATATAGATTTCGCGTTCGCCGTTTGTCTGCTGGGATTCCATTTTTTGTCCACTGTGTTTTGTCATATATTGTTGATGATCAATTGATGATGTATTAGATTTACAAGTATTACTGCTTAATAATATATTTTCTCAAGTTACTGAGCCTCTTCATTCTTTGTCAGCCAATTGGCATGTTCTTGTTATATATCCTCTGTACAAAATGATGAAGTAAGCTACTCAACCCATTTTACTTCTTCTGTTTATCATTTCACATAATTAATTACTGAAGAACTGTCCTTCGATGGTTGATTGTTGTTCAAAGATAAGCATATGAATATGTCAAATACTTGTTCTAAATTGATAATAGATTAGGTTTAGATAGAAAAATATTCCTTATATCATTTATTATGTTGTGTACAATTATTTGGGTATAGGGGACGAGTACGGTGGGATGAAGCGAATCTCAATGAAATCAACACAAATAAACCTATAAGGAAAAAATTAGACGAACCTAAGACACCATATCACCCAATTCTTGGAGAAGATGGTAAGGAATAAGCTCTAGATAAAACCCCTTTTACTTTTGAAATGATTTGATGCTATTATTTATAATTTTGATAGGTTGTTCTTCCCCTGAATCGGATTCCTCTGACTCAATTAGTTATGCTGCACATGCTGAAGCTGTAAGGATTGCACTGAATAAAGTAGCTTTAACTCAAAACCGTTCTGCGCAATTTGGGGACGCCATGGACAAAGAAGGTGGTTCTAAAACTTACCTTAGTTGCAAACATTAATTTTATGCATAAAATATTTCTTTTTAATGACTTGTTTCCAGGCTCAGTAAAACAACCGCGTGCTATTAAGTTTTAAAAGCAGAGAAGAGCTCATTATGACGAGTTCAAAAAAATGAAAGAACTGAAGCAAAAAGGGTCCTTTCTGGATTATGAAGATTTAGACGATTACTCTAATCATGAAAGAATATGCAATGCATCCCCGTCTTAATCTCAACCCAGTGACTTAAAGAAATTTATATTCATGGTGGTGATGAAATTCTCAAAACACTAAACATTGAGGGACATTTTAATTCTATTTAATTAAGAGGACCTCATGTAATTTACTATTAGAAAGCTTGTCCATATGATTGATTATCCTTAGCTGTAAAAGCATTTTCTTTTTGTTTGGAATGTGGAGAAGACTGTGGAACATCGTCACAATCGGGCATATTTTGGCCCCAGCTTAACGTCTACTTCTTATCATATGGCCAAAGCCAAAATACAAGCTCAGGTTTTGGCATATAGCAAGCCAATTTCAAGGCTTGTTAAAAGCTGGTCAATGCGATGTCGATTGCGCAACACTCCAAAATTAAGGTCCTTTTAACAATGATTTGGCATTCAAAATTCATTTAAAGCTCAGATTTATCTTAATGTATTTGTATTAAAAAGCATAAGTTTTTGTTGGGAGAATTTAATTGAATACTAGCAAATTTTAAATCCCAAAAAGTGAAAAATAATGCGAATAAATGACAAACAAATAACCAAACACACAAACACAAGATTTATAATAGTTCACTCTCCGTATAAGAGCTACGTCCACTTTGTCACTGCGGAATTTCACTATGAAGAAGAAGAAAAAAAAATTACAAGAATCTCTTACAAACCTCACAAATTAACTCACTCACTCACTAGACCTTGTTTGGTGGCTTTCACTCTCTAGTTGTGGTTTTGTCTTTAATTTTTTTGTGAAATCTAACTCTAGCACTTAACCCCTTTTTATAGGTAATACATGAGACACTATTCCTAATAAGATTCAAATCTCATATCCTAATAGGAATTATGTTTTAATTCCTAATACAATTATGATTCTATTCCCAATTGTATTCCTAAAATAAAACAGTTCTATTTAAACACAAATTAGGAAAACCCATATCCTAATCCAACTCTAATTTGGATTGAATTTGGCTCCACAATCTCCCACTTTGAGACTAATTCAACATGTCTTAAATTCTTCACTTCCATCAGCAGTGGCATCAACTTTTCTTTCTTCAAACGAGAAGTCCAACTAAAATTGTACACAACTTCAGTTTCTCAATGGTAACTATCTTTGTAAATATATCAAATGGATTTTCTATAACTCCTTCCAAAACTGAGCGTATGAAATGGTAATGAACTTTTATGTGTTTTGTCCTAGCATGGTAGACTGGGTTCTTTGTCAGGTGAATTGCACTTTGGCTATCACAATACAAAGTGTTCCTCTCATAATTCTGATCCAATTCTTCTAGAAACCATTGTAACCATATTAGTTCCTTACTAGCTTCTCTCATAGCAACATACTCTGCTTTTATAATGGAAAGAGCAACAATCTTCTATAACTTTGAAACCCAACTAACTGTTGTACCACCTAACGTAAGGACATAACCTATGGTACTCTTGCGGTTATCAATATCACCAACCATATCAGCATCCACATAACCTTGTAGCTCTAAGTCTGACTTCCTAAAGCATAATGTTGAATCTTTAGTACCTTTCAAATATCTGATAATCTACTTTACTGCTTCTCAATGTTGCTTTCCTGGATTACTCATGTACCTACTCACAACTCCCACTGCATGTGCTATGTCTGGCCTTGTACACACCATGACATACATCAGACTACCAATCGCTGGTGCATAAGGTAACTTGGCCATGTAGTCTCGTTGATGCTCTGTTGTAGGTGACTGATCTTTGGATAGTTTAAAGTGACTAGACAAATGAGTACTTATTGGTTTTGCTCTATCCATGTTGAACCTATTGAGTACTTTCTTCACATACTCTTCTTGTGACAGCTTCAAGAAACCTTTAGCTCTATTTGGTAACCCTCATACCAAGGATTTATTTTGTAGCTCCCAAATCCTTCATAGCAAACTCCTTTGACAATTGCCTTTTCAGCTTGTCTATTTTATATTTACAAGCCCCTGCAATCAACATGTCATCTACATATAGTATTAGGATAATATAGGAATTACCAAGTTTCTTGAAATAACAACAATGGTTTGCTTGGCATCTGAGGAAACCGTTACTACACATAAACCCATCAAACTTCTTGTACCACTGTCTAGGCACTTGTTTTAGCCCGTATAGGCTCTTTTGAAGTTTGCACACCATTCTCTCCTTTCCTTGTACTTTAAAACCTTGTGGCTGTTGCATATAAATTTCTTCATCCAGTTTTCCATGAAGAAACGTTGTTTTTATATCTAACTACTCAAGATGAAGGTCTTCTTTTGCCACTAACCCAAAAAATGTTCTTATTGTAGTCAACTTGACAACTGGAGAGAAAATTTTAGTGTAGTTAATGCCTTCTTTCTGCTGAAATCCTTTCACGGCCAGTCTTGTTTTACATCGTTTGCTGCCATCATGTTCATCTTTCAGTTGATAAACCTATTTGTTTTGCAATGCCTTCTTCCCTTATGGTAGGTTTGTCAACTATCAGGTTTGATTTGTTAATAATGAGTCTATCTCATCCTTCATAGCTAACTCCCACTTGATTGAGTCGTCAACTTGCATTACTTCCTTGTAACACCCTGGTTCACCACCATGAGTTAGTAAAATATAATACAACGAAGGGGAGTACCTATGTAGTGGTCTTATAGTCCTTGAAGATCTTCTAGGTCCAAACACGGGTGTTTGTGGTTCAACTTCTGGAGCTATATTATCTTGATCTTTCTGGTCATTGTCTTGCATGTTATTCCTTGGGAAGTCTTTCAAAGGAACTACCTCTTGCTTCTTCACTTCCATGTTTAGATTTTTTAACTTCATATTGTGTCTATCCTTGTACATCACTTCTTCATTGAATATGACATCTCTGCTCCTTATAATCTTGCGATTTTGGTCATCCCAGAAACGATAACCAAACTCAGCATCATCATAACCAGTGAAAAAATATTTGTTAAATTTAGCATTAAACTTACTTCTAAGAGTAGAGTCAATGTGAACATATGCTAAACAACCAAACACTCTTCAATTTAGCTCTTTGCCGCTCCAAACTTCTTATGGAATCTTGCAATTTAGCGGAAACAGAGGTTCCTCTGTTGAGCAAGTAGCTGTAGTATTAATTGCATCAGCCCAAAATGTCTGTGGTAGTCTAGCATGCAATCTCATGTTTCTTGAGGAGTTGCAGGAATGATCTTCTCCATCTTGATCCTATTATTGTCACAATATTCTTTGAACCCTTAATCAATGTACTCTCTCCCATTATCGGATTGCAAGCACTTCACCCTTAGGTTTGTTTCATTTTCAACCATGGCTCTCCACTTTTTTAAAGTATCAAAAACATCATATTTATTTTTCAAAAAATAAACCTATACCTTTCTGCTCGTGTCATTAATAAACGACACATAATACTTTAAGCCTCCAAGGGATGACACAGGAGCAGGTCCCCACACGTCTGTATGAACCAACTCCAACTTATTAACCTTTGGTTCTCTTGCTCTTTTGAAAGAACTTACTCTTCTCTATTTGCCAAAGCTACAACTTTCACACAAACTATGATGAATTGACTTTAACTCTGGTAGTTTCCCCTTTGATTAAAGCTCCTCCATTCCTTTCATGCTCATATGTCCAAGTCTACAATGTCACAAACTCGAGGTAACACTATCATCTGCGACTGCAATTGAATCTCTGCAACTAGAAGTCATGTAAAGAGTTCCAGTTTTATTTCTATGAGTAACCACCATGGCTCCTATAGTAACTTTCCATACACCACCTAGAAAAGACACATTGTGCCCTTCATCGCCAAGTTGCCCAACTGATATTAGATTGTGCATCAATTTTGGTACATGCCTTACCTTTCGAATTTTCATCTTCAACCTAACATCACCCATACCTATGATATCCAAGGTTCTCCATCTACTAGGTATACCTTTCCATGATTTCCAGCCATATAATTTTCTAGAATTACACGGTGTGTAGTGGTATGGAATGAAGCTCCTAAATCTAAAACCCAAGAGTTAATAAAACTATCAACAAATAAAAGTAAAGCATATGGTACTTCCTCAGTTACAACATTGGTGGCGTTGTTATTGTTGTTCTCCTCTTTCTTTGGTGTTTTGCAATTCCTCTGTATGTGACATTTATTGCCACAATTCTAGCACTCTATTTTTTCCCAAACCTGGACTTGCTTCTTCCGTTCCTTGATTTTGATCTTCCTCTGCCTTGGTTTGAATTTCTATTGTAGCCCCTGCCTCTTGTTTCAACATTCAAAGCATTTAATGTTATCTCACCCGAATCTTTCCTACGAACCTCCTCAGCAAGAATTTTGTCTCTGACATCAGTGAGTTTTAATTTCGCACTACCTATTGAATTACTAATTGTTGCGTTCATAGGCTCCTAACTATTTGGTAGGGAGGCCATAAGAATTAGGGCATGAACTTCTTCATCAAAATCAATTTTTACAGACGACGGTTGATTAATAATTGTATTAAAATCATTCATATGCTCTGTCATGGAAGCACCTTCTCTCATCTTAAGATTAAATAATCTTTTCATAAGATGTACCTTGTTATTAGCAAGAGGCTTCTCATACATATCAGACAAGATCTTCATCAACCCTATTATGGTTGTCTCCTTCGGCACGTTACTTGTCTCATTCTTGGTCAATATCAACCGAATGACTCCTAAAACTTTCTATTTTTTAATTATCTTTATAATTACTTCTCCTTACTTTCTATCTTTTGTACTTCTCCTTGTATAGAATTCCACAACTCATTACAGCAACTATAAACTTATAAATGATTTGAATCTTTAGTTGACTGTAAAAAAAATATATATATTCTTATTAGTGCTTATATGTTGCATATATCTCCAGCACATTTGAAATTGTGAGGTGGAGATGTCACTTAAAATATAATTAGTTATTAAAGTTAAATTATTTAAAAAAAAAAAAAACTTTTAAAACTTTGATTACAATTTACTTCTTAATCTTCTGTCATTCTCAGTTAGTTTGTTTTCTTCCCATTACTTCATATACTCTATACAATTTTTAAAATTTCCAAATTTGTTTTGCATCAAATATTAAAATAGAGTTGATGCTTGAAAAGAAAATTAATGTTTATAATATGATTTTTTTTTTTTTTCTCAAAGTAACTAAACATGGTTTTATGTAATTTTAGTTAAGGATAAAATTATAATTTATGAAACATTTTATAATTGAGGTTTTATTGGATAAAAAGGGGGAAAACAGCATTACTCTTAAAAATAATAAAGATTGTCCTAAAATATAAAATAATATATGTTATGCCTAAATAATATGCTAACATCATCTCCATCAATCAAGACTCAGCAGACT